TATATATATAAACATATATATATTTACTTATTTATTTATGGCTGCGTTGGGTCTTCGTTGCTGCGCACGGGCTTTCTCTGATGGCGGTGAGCGGGTGCTACTCTCCGTTGCGGTGTGCGGGTTTCTCATTGTGGTGGCTTCTCTTGTTGGGGTCACGGGTTCGTGCCCCGGTCCGGGAGGATCCCACGTGCCGCCTTGCGGCTGGGCCCATGAGCCATGGCCACTGAGCCTGCGCGTCTGGAGCCTGTGCTCCACAACGGGAGAGGCCACAACACTGAGAGGCCCGCGTACCGCAAAAAAAACCACAACAAAACCCTTGTCCCCTGCATTGGCAGGCAGATTCTTAACCACTGCGCCACCAGGGAAGTCCCAGGAATGGTCTTGATAAAAAACTCTCCCTTCACATCTTCTATAGTCCACTGATTAACAAACCGGAAGGTACAAATAAAAAAAGCCTAAGAATACCCACCTTCTCATTGGCTATGAACTAACCCCCCAACTGTAATATCTGCTGAGTGAATAAAGCTTTGTGAAATATGATTTACAGCAGGGTTCTGCACCTTGGCACCTCAGACGTGTAGGGCTGGGTAACTCTTTGTTGCAGGGGGCTATCCTATGCATCACAGGATGTTTAGTAGCATTCCCGGGTCTCCACCACCAGATGCCAGTAGCAGTCAACACACTTTCCCCAAGTTGTAAAAAAACAAAAATGTCTCCAGATATTGCTAAATGTCCTCCTGGGGGCAAAATCACCTGTTAAAAACCACTGACCTAGAGACATTAGTCTGTTTACACATTTCCTTCTTAGGTCAATAAACTTCTCTGATAGGTACTGTCATTCAGCCAAACGTGAGTTCTTAGGAGAAAATGTTGTTCCAAAATTAATTATCTCTGCGACCAAGTCTTTTAACTTCTGAGCTTCAGATTGTTTGATATATAAGTCAATTTTTTAAAAACCTTTTTTATTTTTAATATTTATTTTATTTTATTTTGGCCGAGTCGGGTCTTTGTTGTGGCACATGGGATCTTCGTTGTGGCATGTGGGATCTTTCGTTGCGGCGCACGGGCTTCTCTCTCGTTACGGTGTTTTCTCTTTTCAAGTTGTGGCGCAGGCTCCAGAGTGCACGGGCTCTGTAGTTTGCGGCACAGCAGGCTCTCTAGTTGAGGCACGCGAGCTCAGTAGTTGTGGCGCGTGGGCTTAGTTGCCCTGTGGCATGTGGGATCTTAGTTCACCGACCGGGGATCGAAGCCATGTCCCCTGCATTGTAAGGCAGATTCTTTACCACTGGACCACGGGGGAAGTCCATATAATTCAATTTTAAAATTACACTGATGATGATGATGTCATATTATCATTAAAGTTTAAAAACAGAACAACTTTGCTCATTAAGGGAGGAATTATTTGCCAGTTATAGTTTATTTTGTAAATAAATCATGTAGAGCCGCGGTGTTGTGCTGTGGGGAAGGGAGACGGATTTGTAAATCCAGAGCGAGGTTCTGCCTACCCGAGGCCGCTGCTGTGCGGAGACCCCAGGGGAAACCACCGTCACCATGTCTGACCAGGAGGCAAAACCTTCAACTGAGGACTTGGGGGATAAGAAGGAAGGAGAATATATTAAACTCAAAGTCATCGGACAGGATAGCAGTGAGATTCACTTCAAAGTGAAAATGACAACACATCTCAAGAAACTCAAAGAATCATACTGTCAAAGACAGGGAGTTCCCATGAATTCACTCAGGTTTCTCTTTGAATTGCTGATAATCACACTCCAAAAGAACTGGGAATGGAGGAAGATGTGATTGAAGTTTATCAGGAACAAACAGGGGGTCGTTCAACGATTTAGATATTTTTATTTTTTTTCTTTTCCCTTAATCCTTTTTATTTTTTAAAATAGTTCTTTTGTAATGTGGTGTTCAAAACAGAATTGAAAACTGGCACCCCATCTCTTTAGAACATCTGGTAATTTGAATTCTAGTGCCCATTATTCATTATTGTTTGTTTTCATTGTGCTGATTTTTGGTGATCAAACCTCAGCCCTGTTCATATCACCCTCTCCTTTTTAAAAATTACGTGTGTGCACAGAGAGGCCGCCTTTTCCAGGACTGTGCATTTACAGGCTTGTGATAAATAAGATTGACTAATGCGAGTGCTCATAATGAGTTTCCAATTGGCCCTGAAGTTCTAGCATGTGATCGCTTCACTCCTGGACTGTGACTTTCAGTGGGAGATGGAAGTTTTTCAGAGAACTCAACTGTGGAAAAATGACCTTTCCTTAACTTGAAGCTACTTTTAAAATCTGAGGGTCTGGACCAAAAGAAGAGGAATAGCAGGTTGGAGTCAAGGTGACAGAGGTGGTGAAAATAACGACTAACTCCAAAGATGGCTTCACTGAAGAGAAAGCATTTTAAGATGAAAGAAAAATCTTGTCAGAAGATCCCAGAAAAGTTCTAATTTTCATTAGCAGTTAAAGTTATTCATGCAGAAGTGTATACAGCAGAACGCTGCTCTTTTTGACTTTATTTGTACTTTTTGGCCTGGGATATGGGTTTTAAATGGACATTGTCTGTACCAGCTTCATTAAAATAAACAAAATATTTGTAAAAAAAACAAAAAAATAAATCATGTAAATCTATGATCTTTTCAAAAATGCAAATTGAAAAAAATGTTAAAAGACAAGTCATCTTACAAAATAACAGTGCAAAAGCAAACTAAAAAGCTAAAGACCCTTTTATGCTCCACTATTATCACTATCACTACCCCTACATGCCCCCCAAAATCCTCACTTTTCAAGAGTAAATACAGTTAACAGGCTGCCATATATCCATCAGATTATTTTCTTTATAAATAAATAAATACATATATGTACGGATGTGGGTTTTTGTTTTTATAAAAATTGAATTATATTATACTAATTGTTCTGAAATTTGCCTTCTTAACATTTTTCCATAGATTTCTTCCCATGTCAGCACAAACGGCTTTAACACCATCTTTAGCTGCTGAACAGTAATCTGTAGTGTGAATAGACCATAGTTGAACCAGCTCTACCAGTGGGTTTTTAGTTCTAGACAATGCTGCAATGAACATCCTAAACATTGACCTCAGTACATAGATGCAAATATTTCAGTAGAAAAGATTCTGAACATTGTTTTTAGTTTTCTTAATTTATTGGGTACAGAATAAGATTTTATTGGGAGAAAAAAGTTCTACTTCTATTATCATCATTAAATATTATCATCATTAAATATATCTTCTTCATCCTATCTCACTTTCTATACTTAAATACATTCCAGGCAGATAAAACATTCAAATACAAAAGATGGAACTGCTGGGCTTCCCTGGTGGCGCAGTGGTTGAGAGTCTGCCTGCCAATGCAGGGGACACGGGTTCGAGCCCTGGTCTGGGAAGATCCCACATGCCGCGGAGCAACTAGGCCCGTGAGCCACAACTACTGAGCCTGCGCGTCTGGAGCCTGTGCTCCGCAACAAGAGAGGCCGTGATAGTGAGAGGCCCACGCACCGCGATGAAGAGTGGCCCCCCCTTGCCGCAGCTGGAGAAAGCCCACGCACAGAAACGAAGACACAACACAGCCAAATAAATAAATAAATAAATAAATAAAAATAAAGGAATTCCTTTAAAAAAAAAAAAAAAGATGGAACTGCTAACACAGTAGAACAAAAAAAGGAGAGAATTTTTTTCTTAAAGTATTTTTTAAGGATATCAGATTGAGGATGGCCTAAATGACACAAAACCCAGAATCCAGAAAATA